GATCTCAGCAACGGCATCGGCAGTTCCTCTCCTCCCTCCCCGGCTTTCAAAGCTCCCCGGCACTTCATCGCAGGAGGAGTTTACAGAGCTGCAGGGAGGGGGAGCTCCCCGTGGACTTCCTCCCGTGGCGCCACTCCCCCTGCCGTGGTCCATGTCCCCCACGCACTGCAGGCTCACAGCACCTATATTCAAGTCCAAGCTCCGGCACTCGCTGTGTGGCCTTGAGCAACTCACCCAGCCTCTCTGGGCCTCCACCTCTGCACCTGTACAGTGGGCGGAGATGATGGAGTGAGATAGCGCCTGTGAAGGGCATTCTCAGGGCCGGCTGCTCTTCTCCAGGGCTCACCTTGTGGCCGGGTTCCGGACGGCAGCCAAAGCCTTGGTGACTCGACTTCTCCATGGTAACCGTGGCAAGGAGGCTAGGGAAGCGGGGGGCTATGCCTGTGGCCATGGGGTCAACAGACCCATCCAGAAGCAAAACCAAACCAAGGGAGCAGCCTGCAGAGGTTGCAGGCTGAGAGGAACGCAGGGAAGGGCCTTGGTCACCAGGGCGTGGTGGGCCCCAGGCTTGAGACAGCCAGATGGGACGCACTGCGGGCACTGGCGGGGAGCAGGGGTCCAGGCATGGACTCCTCCGACCTTACAGGGCCCGCGGTCACCGAGTCCCTTCCTCCAGGAGGTCTGGAAGGTTCTACTCTGCAAATCGACTCCAGTCACCTGTGGGCTGGAGTGCTCCCACCCAGAACGCCCCAGGAGGTGGACTTCCAGCCTCCAGCCTGCCCCCTCCTCTCCTGTCCCCCTCGCTCCCTGGTCTTAGCCTCACCTGGGTCCCTTGCTGTCACACCCTGGAGCCAGGACTACTCATTCCCGCCTCTGCTATGGTGGTCAGCACTCGTGGTAGCAGGCACTCGGCAAATAGGGAGCCTGGACTGGGAGTGGACCAGGCTTGGCCCCTGCCTCTGCCCCGGACAGAGCACCCAACCCAGCTTGCTTGTTGCAACCCAGAGAAGCCGGCTCAGGGAGGCTGGGAAGCCCTCACACACCTGCCCCGAGCAGTGCCAGCTTCGCCTCCTGCCCAGAGCAGATTTCTTTTCCTATCCCAGGCAATCTGGTGCCAGGACCCCCCTTGGATATCAGAATCCTGGATTTTCATAGGAACTGAGCGCACCCTCCCATTTGTATACTTTACATCATCTCCAGATCATTTACAGCAGCTAATAAAATGCAAATGCTATGGAAGTAGGTGCTGCGTGGTCTGGGGAGGAGCCACAAGCCCAGAAAGTCCACACGTGTACCGTGGTGCAGACCCAAGGCTTCTCCCAGACATCTCTGATTGGCAGGTGTCAAACCCAGTGAGGTGGAGCTCTACGGACAGGGAGAGCCGACATCATCAGCCAGAGGAGAAAGTGGCCAGCCCATCCAATTACGGCATCGTGGTTTGCACGTGTGGCCGCCTAACCCACCCCTCAGCCCAGGGCTGTCCTCCCAGGCCTCTCGACCTGCCACTCGGCTGCAGCCACAGCCAGCGATGGGGCTCTGCCCGTGCCGGGGGAGCAGTGAGAGCTCACTCTCCGTAATTTGCCACCATGACCTTCAACATAACCAAGGCTCGGAGGAGTATCACACCAAAGACGTCTACCCGTATGGTGCTGTTTGAGCCTGCGCAATTCAAATCCAAATGGCAATGGGACAGTTTCCCGCAGGACTCCATTCACGTGTGGCGGTGCTCTTAGAAGCGTGCTTGGGAAACCTCAGGCCTGGAGGAGGGACGAGAATGAGCACCTACTGCATGCACTCCCCCAGGTGACGCCTCTCCAAACGGGACGGAATTGCCCCCTCCCTGTCTGGAGACGAGAGCCAGGCCCCCCAGCGAGGAGGTTTTCCCAGGGATCGGAGCCTCCTCCCTCCCCGTACTGCACGGGGATCCCCTCCAGGTTTTCTGCAGCCGCTGCGAGTTCCCGTTCACTACAGGAGTCTCCACTTCTGGGAGAGTGAACAGGATCAGAGCCGCAAAGCAGGCGCCCGGACAACATGCTCACGTCCAGATTCAACATCAGTTCGTTCCAGTGGGCCTCAGTTTCCTCATCTAGAAAGTGGATCTGTGAGTGGGGGCCAGGAAAGGCGTGGTTACAAAGATGCCGTTCAAGCGTCTCTAGGTCTCCTCCTCAGACCGCACCCTGGGCATATTTTATGTCTAAGTTCCCGGCCTGCAATGTGGAGGTATTGCCACTAGGGGGCGAGCTGGACTGGGATTCCAGCTGTCCAAGGCCGCTCCCCTGTGTCCTATGCAGTTAGTTATCCAAGTCTCTTCAGTGACACTGGGGAGTGAGAGACGGTATGAAGAAGGATCTGAATCACGGGGCAAAGCAAGGCACAGCTTGAATGAGTCTTGCACTCCAGGAGTTAACGCTACGTAAAACCTGGTCCCTGCGGCCAGCGCTGTGGCATAGCGGCCTAAGCCTCCACCTGCAGCGCCGGCATCCCACATGGGCGCCAGTTCGAGTCCCAGCTGCTCCTCTTCCAATCCAGCTCTCTGCTATGACCTGGAAAAGCAGTAGAAGATGACCCAAGTCTTTCAGACCCTGCACCCACGTGGATTCCTGGAAGAAGCTCCTGGCTCCTGGCTTCGGATCAGCCAAGCCGTTGGGGCCATTTGGGGAGTGAATCAGTGGATGGAAGACCTCTCTCTCTGTCTATAACTCTGCCTCTCAAATAAATAAAGTCTTTTTTAAAAATGGTCCCTCTTCCACTACTTTCCCAGGCCATAGCAGAGAGCTGGTTCAGAAGTGGAGCAGCTGGGTCTCGAACCAGCACCAATATGGGATGCCAGCACTGCAGGCGGCAGCTTTACACACTATGACACAGCACTGGCCCCTGCTCCACTTCCGATCCAGCTCTCTGCTGTAGCCTAGGAAAGCAGTAGAAGATAGCCCAAGTGCTTGGGCCCCTGTATCCATATGGGAGACCCGGAAGAAGCTCCTGGCTCTCAGCTTCGGATCGGCCCAGCTCCAGCCATTGCTGTCTTTGGGGAGTGAGCCAGTGGATGGGAGACCTCTCTCTCTGTATCTCCCTCTCTCTGTAACTCTGCCTCTCAAATAAATACATCTTTATTTTTAAAAGAAATCCCGTGATTCTTATGTGTGATGAGAAAGCTACGGGCGAATGTCAGAACAGTGGTGACAATGACAGAATCTTCCGCAGCTCCAGGAGCTGTGCTTACGGCCGTGAGCCCCCGTAGAAGGGGCTGAGCTGGACTTGCCCTGCGGTGCTCGAATATGGAGTGAAGCGAAATTCGTTCCCTGTGGCCGCCTGTCCTGACTCAGCCCCGCCTGAAGGAGCCATCTGCAGAGTGGGCATTTGGTCCAGCAGTTAGGCAGCCACTTGGGATGCCCAAGTCCCATATCAGAGTGACTGGCTTCCGGCCCCCTCCCCACGCCGGAGGCCAGCTTCCTGCTCACGCAGATCCTGGGAGGGAGCAGAAGTGGCCCAAGTGCTTGGGCCCCAACACCCACGTGGGAGACCCGGATAGAGCTGCAGGCTCCTGGCTTCATTCACGGCCACTGGAAGCCATCTGGGGAGTGACTCTGCAAATGGAAGCTCTCGCGCGCGCGCGCGCTCTCTCTCTCTCTCTCTCCACTCTGCCTTTCAAATACATCTTAAAAACCACAACAAGAAGCCATCCCATTCTCTGGGAGGAGGGGCCGGGGAAGAGTGGGGACACGGCTCCCCAACTCCTGGCGGAGATTTTCATTCTTCCTTTTGCTCTTGGTTTTTCCCCAGCCCCACACCTGTCGTGGGAGACTGTGAGTCGGGGGTCCCACACCTGTCATGGGAAACTGATTCTGACGGTCCCCCGTGAGCCGCTCCCGCTGTTATCTGCCTGTGTGTTTTCCTTTGTAAAGACTGGGCTTCCCGCTATGACCCCTCGGCCACAAGGGCAGGACCCGGCCAGGATTTGTGCACAGGGAATCTTGTCCCCTCAGAAGGTTGCTTCCTGGAGCCCGTGGGCTGTGCTGCTGACCTAGAGACCCGGTAGGAGGACACGGCAGGTCCCACTGACAGAGCTGCCCGACCAGAGTCCTCCTCCCAGACCACCCCTCCCCTCACTGTTCCCAGGATCCTCCTTGGCTAAGGGCGCTACTGGCCACTTAACCAATGTGAAGACGCCCAGCCTCGTGTTACATAAGTCCAGAGTGGGCAGCCTCTGGCCAAGCTGACAGAGCCCCTCAGCAAGTTCACGGGGCTCCCAGGGGCGCTGCGCTGGCTGCACGGGTCCCCTTTTCAGTACCCTAGAGGGGGAGGCGCCCTCAATACCCCCAGCCCAGAGAGCTCTCCCAGAAAGCTCCACCCCCTCATGCCTTGCCTTGCATCTCATTGACCCAAATCCAGTCGCACGCCCATTCCTGAACCAATCACTTTGCATGTGGGGCGGAGGAGGAGGAAGAGGAGTGCGAAATTCATGAGACCAAACCCCTGAGTGGGAGGGGCTTGTGCAGTCAACTCTTTGAAGGCCACTGGCCTGCGGGGGAGGAATGGGTGTTCAGGCCAGGCATGCGGGGGGAGACCCAGCAGTGTGCACCCTGGGGCCCCCCCACACTGGGCCTCAGGGAGAAGCCACGCCCACTGGGCCAGGCACAGAGCCCCACTCCTTTGCTGCTGCTGTGGGGGAAGGGGTGTGTGTGTGTGTGTGTGTGTGTGAGTGAGACAGAGCATGTGTGTGGGAGCATGTGTGTTTGAATGTGCAGGTGTATGTGTAAGTGTGTGTTGGGGTGTATGTAAGTGTGAGTGTGTACAAGTGTATGCGTTAGTACGGGCTGCGTGAGTGTGAGCATGTGTGAACATGTGTGCGAGCATGTGTGAGTGTGCATGAGTGAGTGTGTGTGTGCACATGTGTGTAGGGCACAGCGGGAGGTCTGGGAGAGGGGCCGAGCCCCCAGGGCTCCTGTCTGCCTCAGCTGCTCTCCCACCCCCGCCCCTGGGTCCCGGCCGCGTGGAGAGCGAGCAGCAGGCAGCGGGGGACCTCGGACACGTGCCTCTCTTTATTGCGCTGTCTCCTGCCCGCCGGGCCGCCTCTGCCGCGGCGCACCTAGTACTTGGCGCCCTTGGACTTGCTCTTTTCTCCGTACTTCGCTTCCAGCGCCTTCTGCAAGTGCATGTTCATCGCGTTCTTCTGGTGCCACCGCCCTGCAGAGCCGGGGAGGAGCCAGCACGGGTCACCCAGCAGCCTGCCACGTGCCCAGGCTGGGCAGTGACCTGCACCCCTTCCGAGCCCTCCCACTGGACCCCAGGGCCCACGTGGCCACCTCCGGCCTCCCCCCCTCCCCCGCTCCCCACCTACCCAGGTCATCCGTCTTCCGGCCGTGCCAGTGTTCCAAGTCCCTCACTGATCTCTCGATCACCTCCGGCGTGTAGGAAGCCTTCATGAGGCTCTTAGTCTCCTGGGGGGCCCCTGCAGAAGCCGCGGAGAAATCCCCAAGTTAGAGGAGGCCGGGGCCAGGGAGCCCACGGTTGAACCTGGCGTAGCCTCCCGTGGCTGTGGGTGGTGCGGGGGGCTGGAAGGGGGGAGGCCTCTGAGACAAGCAGGTCTGGGTCCGAAGCGCTCTCCATCGGGCGTGGGGCCCAGACAAGCCCCAGCCTCCCCTACGCTTCCGTTTCTTCCTCTACAGAAAGGGAGCCGGTTTTCTCGCCAGGTCAGAGAGGTGATCAAGTTTCGGACGTTCCCTGGGGCGGCGGGCACGTGGCAAGTGCTGGCTGCGCTTTCTGAAAATGTATCCTAGTGACACCATGAAAACGCACGAGGGAGCGCTCGCCATGGTCGGGACCCCAAGCTGAAGGCCAAATCCTAAACAGACGGCAAGCGTTCGAATGACCAGAATGTAAAGTAAGTGCATTTAAGGTTCGAGGCTGTGAAAGAATGAACCTATAAGCAAAGAATAAGGGGCTATCCAGAAAGAAACAAAACAGAAAAGCAAGCGGGTTAGTAAAAACAAGCCAATGCTATATCAGGCAGGCAACCTGGGAAGGTGGGAAGGTAAGCCTTGTGGGTGATAAGATGCCTGGGATTTGCTTTGAAATCCTCTGCAGTGGAGGTGGACAGGTGGGTGATGGGAGGAAAGCCGAAACAAGATCAGGGCCCGGCACTGTGGTGTAGTGGGTAAAGCCGCCTGCGGCGCCGGCATCCCATATGGGTGCTAGTTCGAGTCCTGGTTGCTCCTCTTCTGATCCAGCTCTCTGCTTTGGCCTGGGAAAGCAGTGGAAGATGCCCCAAGTCCTTGGGCCCCTGCACCCACGTGGGAGACCCGGAAGAAGCTCCTGGCTCCTGGCTTTGGATCAGCTCAGCTCTGGCTGTTGCAACCAATTGAGGGGTGAACCAGCAGATAGAAGACCTCTCTCTCTCTCTCTCTCTCTCTCTCTCTCTCTCTCTCTGCCTCTCTGTAACCCTGCCTTTCAAAAATAAATAAATAAATATTTAAAAACAAAGACCCAGGCTCGGCTGTGCTCCGGTCATGTGAAGGCTGGTGTCGTGTGCAAAGCCTGTTGATCAAGCCATGCGCTTGGCTCCCCCCGAGGTTTGAAAACTGCTGTCATCAGAGCCGAAAAGGAGACTCAGTGGACAGCGAACGCGGCAGATCAGTCACAGCGGAGAGGACGTGGGGACCCGGGAGCTACAGCTGCAGAGCCGCAGCGCAGGGCGGGAAGCGGTGGGAGAAGCGCGAAGGCGCTGCCCGGGCGCAGGCTGCGCGAGGAGGAAGTGGGCGGAGGCGGTCCCGTCGGTGGGACGTCCCCGGCTGACATCTCCCCAGAACGGATGCGCGATGCCGGTTCTTAGAGCCCAGAACCATAATCCCCCAGCGAGGATGAGGAAAGGGAATTCCTTCCGTAGGCACAGCCGAGGCAGCTTGAGAGCAGCAGGGACCCGGGGGCTTTACACGTGGTGCAGGGAGGAGGGAGCCAGAGACCGGCCGGCCTAACTGCGGGGGTGAGCCCCCGGAGACAGAGGAATCGGGGCCAGACCCGAGTGCTGATGGAAAACAGCCGAGCAGCCATGTTCCCAGCACCGCCGCCAGGCAGACCGTGCTGGCAGAGCCCACCCCCACCAACGGCCCCCGCTACACCTAACTTCCGGAAGTGAGCCCAGGAGGAAGACCCGGACGTGAGAAGGAAAGGGATGGGGGTTCTCCTAAGTACGCACCCACTAAACAGCACCATCCGTACCGAGGAAGGGGCCCCAACACCGCCGGCCGCGGGGAGCTGAGATGGTGGGGATCCACCTAGCACACTTCTGGGCGCTTCCCGCGAGCCGCACGCCGCACTTCTGTCACCCCAAGAGTAGATGTCGTTATTACGGGGAGGCCAATGGGGCACAGAGACACTGAGCAACTTGTCCAAAGCTGCACAGCTGGTGGTGAAAGGCCCGGGGCTCCGACCCAGACACCGCAGCTCCAGGCTCCGCGAGAACACCGCTCAGCTTCTGCGCAGCTAAAAATCTGTGGAGGCAGCGCGCAGGCCCAGGAGGGTGTGGGAGAGGACTCGCAGCCCAAGCCTTCTAAGACGCTTAGAGTTAGAGGAACACTTGAACACCTTCGTTAACGTTGGTCTCCCGACTCCAGGGTGACAATGTCAAGAGGAACCACTAAAAGCACAGGCAGGGTAGTAGTGGTAGGGACAATTTAGGTTGGGAAGAAGGAAAGCCGAGGTGTGTCCAAAAAATAGAGGGCTAGCACTGTGGTGCACTGGCTAACCCACCAGCTGCGGCACCGGCAACCCATACCAGTGCTGGTTTGCTTGGAGTCCCGGCTGCTCCACTTCTTTTTTTCCACTTCTTTTTTTTTTTTTTTTTTTTTGACAGGCAGAGTGGACAGTGAGAGAGAGAGAGAGACAGAGAGAAAGGTCTTCCTTTGTCGTTGGTTCACCCTCCAATGGCCGCCGCGGGTGGCGCGCTGCGACCGGTGCACCGCGCTGATCTGATGGCAGGAGCCAGGTGCTTCTCCTGGTCTCCCATGGGGAGCAAGGCCCAAGTACTTGGGCCATCCTCCACTGCACTCCCGGGCCACAGCAGAGCCGGCTGCTCCACTTCTGATCCAGCTCCCTGCAAATGTGCCTGGGAAAGCAGCAGAAGATGGCCCCTGTAACCACATGGGAGACCTGGATAGATCTCCTGGCTCCTGGCTTCAGCTTGGACCAGCCCTACAAGCCATTGCAGCCATTTGGGGAGTAAACCAGTAGATGGGAGATTCTCTCTCTCTCTCTCTCTCATTCTCTCTGTAACTCTACCTTTCAAGTAAGTAAATCTCTCTCTTTTTTTTTAAATTGTTCATGTTATCTAAGTGTGGCCACTATCATTTTTCAAAAGAAGCCCTAGGGGCCAGTGCTGTGGCATAGCAGGTTAAAGCTCTGGTCTGCAGTGCCAGCATCCCGTATAGGCACCGGTTCTAGTCCCGGCTGCTCCACTTCCCGTCCAGCTCTCTGCTGTGGCCTGGGAAAGAGTAGAAGATGGCCCAAGTCCTTGGGCCCCTGCACCCACATGGGAGACCAGGAAGAAGCTCCTGGCTCCTGGCTTTGGTTTGGTGCAGCTCCAGATGTTGCAGCCATCTGGAGAGTGAACCAGCAGATGGAAGACCTCTCTCTCTCTCTCTCTCTGCCTCTCTGTAACTCTGCCTTTCAAATAAATAAATAAATCTTAAAAGAAGAAGAGGCCCCAAAGACTGTAAGATTGTTGGAATTACTGGGCGAACGGGAGAAAATGGACACAGAACAAGCCCAGTCCCAAGCATCCGTGCGCACCAGCAGCAAAGCCGGAAATGGCGTCTTGAAGAAGACAGCACTAGCAATAAGCAGCAGTCCGAAAGCTCAGCGGTTTTCCCAAAACAAAGCAAAACATTCTTGACAGAGACTGAAGAGAGATTGGAATGAGTGTGGCTGCTTAGCGCATTTATGGATTGGAGAATCCGGGCTCCCGGAGCCGACGCCTGCCCTACAGCACGCTGGAGAGTGAACGTATCTCCAGTCAAACCCCACCGGGGGTTCGTGGAAATTGACAAGCTGCTCTGAAGCTGACACAGAGAGAGGAAGAATCTGAAAGACCAAGCATCAACTTGTAGAGGGAGGAGGTGTGTGTCCTCCGATCAGGCCCCAGACTACTTAGAACACCTCGGCAATTAAAGTGCAGTAGTGGGCGGAAACCGATGCGTGCACAAGCAGGCGCTTGATGGACAGCAAAGCGGTGCAGCCGGCAGCCGGGGAAGGCGGAACACCAGGTCCTGAGACGATCGGGTTGCAGACGAAGGTCTACTTCACACGGAAAATGGACCCGACTCCACGGGGATTAAAGATTTCCATGTGAAAAGCAAAGCCCAGTGTTTTTCAGACGCCACCTAAAAGCTTACCTCCGTGACTCAGCACGGGAGAGGATTTCTTCAACCCGTCCCTCCTGGAACCTGCTCTCGGACCAAGTGAACAGCAAGGCCGCCCTTCCAGTTCTTCAGGTCAAACACCCGGAAACCAACCTTCATTCCCCACCCCCGGACACGCCAGATCCATCGCGAGCATATGCGGCTGGCGCCGCACCGCGCTGACTCCTATCCTGTCAGGCCGCCTGCTCCCATATTGTACGACGGTGCCCTGCAAAATGGCACAGTGCACCAGCCCAGCTCCCGCCACCGAGCCTCCGCCATCTGCCCACCTGGGTTTTCTGCACTGGTCTTCCTGTCTCTGCCCCAGCGCCCCTGCACCTGTTCTCAACACAGCAACAGGAGCAACCCACTCACCAAAGCCAAACAGCATCATTCTTCCGCTTGTGGCTCTGGGTTGGCTTTGCCCCTCAGAGGAAAGACCTACGGTGGCCTCCCACCTGGGCTGCTTCTGAGTTCTGCCCTTCCCTGCACAGTGAGTGCAAAGGCTGATCCCAGGGCGGGTGAGTCCGAGGGACAGGTGCAGGGGACACACTGCAGGGTGCAGCCCTGGCTCAGAGCACCTGTCAATCTCCAGAGTAGAAACACTGACGCCGGGGCCAATTTTAACCCAGCAGTTCTGTGCCAATCGGTTCAGGAAAATTTAACAATGGACTCTTGTGAGCTGTAGCCAGTATGCCCTTGGCACAGTTCCAGTGGGCTGTGCTGATTTTAAAGTATTGTTTGTATGTGTATGTGGACATTCTAAGATTCTGTGTCAGAAACACGAGGTGAGAATTGGAAGGTAGGATTTCTGGGGCCCCAAGAGGCGACAGCCTGGGCCATGTCCTGGCTTGCACAGGGCACCACCCCTGTTCTGAGCTCAAAGGAAAAACCCAGACAGGCTTCCAGTGGGCGTCTGGTTCCTCAGGCGACAGGGACCTGAGCCAGGAAGAGGAGACGTGGGAGGCATCCCACAGTGCCCCGGAGGCCGCTGAGGCGCAGAGAGCTCAGGAGCCTGCCATGGGCCGCACCCGGCTGGGGAGTAGCTGGGCTGAACTTTCAACCCTAGAAACCTGGCATGGTCACTGAGACCAAAGGTGCCCAGGCCAGAGGTACCCGGGCCTCCCACTGGTAGAGAAGAGCCCAGAGGTGCCAGGAGCCTGAGGGGCTCGTGCCAGGCGGGGAGTGACTGACGGCAAGGACAGACGCTTCCACACCTGCTCGGCGCAGGGGTGTGAAGTGAGGGCCCGAGACCCCCAGGCGGGGTGGACGCACCCTAGGCCTTGGGGCCCGTGGGTGCCCACAGCCCTCAGCCTTGCCCTTGGCCTGACCTTGGAACAGGTTGGAGCGCATGTTGTAGCCCAGATCGTAGTAGTCCGAGAAGATGGAGGAGATTTCCACGGGGCTCTGGGTCCTGCTGGGCCATGAGCTCACCCTCCTCTGGCCCTCCGCGACTTCGCCGATGGCCCTCTGAGCCTGCGTGGGGAGGCAGGGAGCAGGCATAGGACGGAAAGCAGGGGCAAGCCACCCGCACCCCACCCTCCAGCCCTCCTCCCGCAGACCCCACCCAAGCTCAGCCTGAAAGCCCTCGACCAACACCCCCACTCCGGGGCCCCTGCCCCCACCCTCCACCTCCACCCCGGGCTTCCGGGATGTTCACTGTCAAAAGCCTCCTCTCAGCATTGAGCACCTACTAAGTGCAGCGCCAGGAGCAGTCTATAGAGGGCGACACTACTCGTGCCGTTTTACAGGTGAGAAACTGGGTCTCGGGTGGTCAGAGTCCCTCAGGTCACACAGCTGAGGAGCCCCAGGCCCTGGCTGGCCCCCTGCAGCGGGGCCCTCACACCAGCCAGCTCCAGGTGGGCCCTCAGCTTTCCCTGAGGCCAAGGGGGAAACTGAGGCTCGGAGAAGCTGAGTCCTGGCCCTGGAGGCAGGAAACCTGGGTTTGAGCCCCAGCTGGTGCCATTTGCCAGCTGCTGACACTGGCAAGGGTCTACTCCTGGGCCTCGGTTTCCCTACTTGTAGGGCTTCGGGATCCGCCAGCCTGGTGGGGACCCTCGTCCCAGCAACTGGCCGAATTGGGTGAACTTCCTTAACCCCTCTAAGCTTTGGGTTCCTTATCCACTACATGGGGATGAAGACAGCGCCCCCTGGTGGTGGTGGGGATTAAGTGAGTGTCAGCAGGGCACAGGGCCCGGCACATAGCAGGTGCTCAGTTAGCACCGCTTCCTGATGCTGTTACTAAGAGGACTGCACTCCGCGCAGGCATCTTCCGTGTCCTCCTCTAAGGAGGCTCACATGGAATCCTTCAGCTGCCCCGCCCCTGCGGCCCGGCCTTGCCACCTGCTCCTTGGAGACCAGCTCCTGCACCACCGTGCTCCCGAACTTGTGGCGAATGTTGTCAGGAATGACGCTGCCCTGCGGGGGTGCGGGTGGGCTGCTCTGGTCCTGGGACTTGGCGCTGGGGTCTTCCTGCCGCCGCGCCTCTTCTCGCAAGGAGCCCTCACTCTCTCTCGAGGAGGGTCTGAAACCCCCCTTCTTCCCCGGAGAACCCCTGCTGACGGGGGTCGGGGGCGGGGGCCGGATCTCCTCCAGGTGGCCCTGCCCCAGGGTGCTGCCTGCACTGCTCGGGGCCTGGTGCTTGAACTTGGAGACGTCCAAGGAGCTGCAGGAGGTTCTCCAGGGCTCCGCGTCCTGCGGAGGGGCGCTGGTCAGGTTGGCAGTTCCTGCAGACAGGCAGATGAAGGAAGGAGGGTGTGGGCAGGAAGCAGACACAGAGGCAGGGGGAGAAATAAGGAGACGAAGGGAGAAGTCGCTGCAGCTTGGCCTCACTTGCTACGGTGAGCCCACGAGGCCCCCGGGCAGCAGGGTTTGCGCATCAGAATCACCAGGGTGCTCATTAATAATGCAGATTCCTGGGCCTCCTGTCTGAGCTTTCACCCGGGCCCCAGGGCCTTCAGGGTACCCACGGGAGCTTCCAGCAGGAGTGTGCTCCAGCCCCACTGGGCTACGTCTCCCTGTGCCACCCACCAGCCACAGCCACCTTCCACTCGGCCCCGGGACCCGCTGCAGCCCACCCCACCCCCTGCACCAAAATCCTCCCTGTTCTCAGTACAGCCCCTGTCCCTAAGACCTGCTTGGTCTTCCAAGAGCACCCCCTCCCCCTCCTCCCACCCCACCCCAGGAAGTCATGGCCGCAGGGGTCAGGAGAGCGGCCAGCTCCCTGCTGCCCCGGGGTGGGCATCCCTCCAGAGGGCCCGGCTGGGCATTTGCAAGCCCCTGGTCCGCCCCTACCTGTTCGGTGGCCCAGCTCCATGGACTCTTGCCCCGGACAGGCGCTTCCAGCTCAGTCCTGTGGACAAAGCGGCGCATTTCACCGTCTCAGATGACACGCAGAGGCCGCGTGTGTGAAGATGAGCCCGGCACTCACGGTGGGGGAGGGGGCCTGTGGCCAGCTGCCCAGCCCTGCACGGAGGCGCCCTGGTGCACTGGGACGTGGCCCTCTCCACCTGGCCGCTGCATTACCAGGACCTCCTCAGCCGGCCTGGGGACTCTGCGTTCCTCCAGTGCCAGCGTCATCTCTTCCCCCTCCTCGTGCCTCCCCCCACTCGCCCCCCCAACTAGGGGCCCCAGCAGACCCCTGGCCGCAGGCTGCGCTGCCCCCATGCCCACGTTGTGGGATGGTACCCGTCTGAGTGGCTGGTGGCTCACGGTCGGGGAAGAGGAGCAGCTGAGAAGACAGGGGAAGAGCTGGGAGCGAGACCCATGCTGCAGCCCAGGTCACGGCCTCGGTGCCCCGTGGGGGGGGGGGCAGCTCCCTTGGCCCTGGCTTTCATGCTCCTGTTCCCTCTCCCTGGAAGGGGGTCTTGCCCTTATCCCCATTCTCTGAGCTACTGCAGCTGGGTTCCCCCCAGGCTCCCTCAAATGGCATGGCACACCTGGCTCCAAAGGTGAGTGACGAGGGAGGAGCAGGAGCGAGGGGGCAGAGCTGGAGGGACCTTTGGGGGCTGAGGCCCAGAGAGGGGCAATGACCTGACTAAACTCACACAGGAACAGGTAGAAACCAGATCAACCCATTTCTCGTGAAAGCTGGCCCAGCACAGCCCGCTGTTGGATTGGATGTGGAATAACAATTGATGACTGGGTCACTTCTGATACAACCTCCAATGGCCCTGTGCAAGCCCAGTCCCCACCTCCTCGGGGGACCCTGTGGCTGGCCACGGAGACAGCAGTGCCTTCCAGGGGAGAGGAGTGACTCCTGTCTTGTTCCTGCCCTTTTCCCTGGCTCTCCTTGGTTTGCTGGCTAATGTCAGTGATGTGTGAGTAGGCAGGCAGCTAGTCAGGCCTAGGGGAGCTGGAATCCTTGCAGTCCCGCGACGTAAAGTTATCTCTTTACCTATCCGTCTAAGCCACCTCCTTCCCAGGAAGCATCAGGGGCCAGGAAGAAGGAGATATAATGATCAGCTGTCATGCTTTGTGTGGTGCCGTGGACAGGTCTCGGTGGCGAGGGGTGGGGGGCAGCCCCTGAGCTATAAGGGGCGAGGCCCCTGGCCCACCAGTCCTTGGGAAATGTAGGCAAGCTTTGCCACCTGAAGGAGCGTGGGAGTGGAAGACGATCCCTGAAGGTCTCCTGTGGGAGACCCTGAGCCAGGCGGCCCAGCCAAGCCACCGGCAGGGGAGTGGCCCACAGAGCGTGCGAGATCCTAACCGGGAGCCTCTTTAAGCATACGGTCTCCACTGCTAAGCCTTGTGGGTATTTATCGTCTCCACTGCTAAGCCTTGCGGGCATTTATCGCCCGGCCGTGCCGAGCTAATTCAGATCTTGGTGCCGAGAGAGGCGTGTTGCTGGGACAAACACCTAAGCGTGTGACCGCGGCTTTGGAGTCAAGCAGTGGAAAGGGCCTGGGGGATCTGGATGGACAAGTCCAGATGGCCTCTGTGTTGGCAGAAATGTGGACTTGGAGGATGCTGCCTGGGCGGCACAGAAAGTGAGGAGCATGTTCTCCAGACTTCCGGGAAGCGAAACCTCCGTTACGTAACAGCAGGCGTTCCGTGACTCTGTCGTCTGCAGACAGAACAGGGGACGGACAAACTCCGCGAGGTAGCGAAGGAGACTTCCACACTCGGCGCTGAAGGTGTCTCCTGCACAGCCTGCTGCCGGAACCCCAGGCCAAGGGACCAGCATCATTTTCAGTCGCACGAGGGTCCCTTTAAGGAGACACAGGCGATGCCCCATGTATGCTCCTCACGGAGGCCCGGGGACCTCTGGGGAGCTTACAACTGTGTTTCCCTGGAGCGACTCCAGAGAAACAAGGCTCTGGCTTGCAGCCCAGGGGCTGAACCCCACTGTGAACCTCTCACACCATTTCTGAGAAAGCTACTGCAGGAGCAGTATCGCCGGCTGGGGGTGAAGGGGATGGAGACAGCACAAAGCTAAAAGAGAACACGGCACAAAAAGTGTTTGACAACCAAGGAAGACCCAGAGGGTGGGAGCAAGAGTGGGCAGGGCGGAGGTGAGAGCGGGGCGGGGGTCTGGTGAAGGAGCCCCCCAGCACCTGGCCGGCTGGGCTGCAGGACTGCTGTGGCCCGTTGAGTCCTCCGAGCGTCCAGTGCCCCCTTGCCCATGCAGCTCTGAGGCTGCGCCTGTCCCAGCACCGAGGCTACGCGAGCTCAGGGAACAGTGCTTTGTTTCACTGGCCCACCAAGCGACAGAGCCAGGGCACGGCGCCGGGGCCTGGCGTCTGTCCAGATTCTGCTCCTCAAACTGGGCCGGAGTCAAGCAAGACTGTGGGAGCTCTGCAGAGGGGACCAGTGTGTCTTGCACGGGGTGTACATGCTCAAAGGCCAGTAGAGGGCACTGGGACAGCAGCCAGGGACCCCTGTCGCTTGGTACGATCCCCTCCCCTTGAAGCTGCTGACTTGCTTCTGACCAACAGAGCACAGCTGAAGAGAGGGGTGTGCCCCTCACGATTGCCAGAGACAGCGATGTGTGCCTTGTTCGCACTCACTCCCTGGCTGGCTCTGACACAAGCCCACTTCCCATTGCAAGCTGTCCTGTGGGGAGGCCCGAGTGACAAGGAGTGGGAGGGTGGGCTCTGGCCAACAGTTTGAAGCAGACCTGAATCCGGCTGGGAGGGCATTGGAGAAGGAGCCTTCTGTGGTCAGAAGATCCAGGCAGCAGCTCCATGGCCGCCGGGAGAGGCCCTGAGCTGGGGTCTGAAGCCACGGCGTTCTGGGGCGATTTGTTCTGAAGCCACGGCATTTTGGGGTGATTTGTTCCGCAGCGGAAATGTTGCCATTGCTACGAGCCCTGTGCCCATCGCGTAGGTCAGTCTCCTTGTGTAGGACCCCATGGGGAGTGCAGGGTGATGATTCCCTAACCCTCTCACAGATGGGGAGACCGAGGCACCGAAAAGACACAGCATCTTGGCCAGGTAGAGCTAAAACTAAGCCGTGGGGCCGGTGCTATGGCATAGTGGGCTAAGCCTCTGCTGCGGCCCAGAATACCTTATGGGCACTGGTTCTAGTCTCGGCTGCTCCACTTCCTATCCAGCTCTCTGCTGGCCCGGGGGACAGTAGAGGATGGCCAAAGTCCTTGGGCCCCTGCACCTGCATGGGAGACCCAGAAGAAGCTTCTGGCTCCTGGCTTTGGATCGGCACAGCTCCAGCCATCGCAGCCATCTGGGAAGTAAACCTGCGGATGGATACCTCTCTCTCTCTCTTTGTCTCTACCTCTCTCTGTAACTTTACCTTTCAAATAAATAAATTCATCTTCTTTTAAAATTTAGAGTAAAAGAAAATAAAACTAAGCCACACATCTTCAAGTCAGCGGAAGTTGCAGTTGGTCTCCACTCCTGCCCCCGATGCCCACCCCGGGGCAGCTGGCCTGGCTTCATCAGAAGCGTGGCCCCACTGCCAGTGTCTGACCTGCAGAGAAAGCTCCCAGGAGAAGTCGGCCAAGGTGGGAAGGTGGGTCTGGTGCAGCCTGGGGTGTCCTCACTCACAAGCAACTCTGAATGGGCAGAAGGAAGATTCGATCCCGTGGTCTGGCAGAGCCCCAGCCCTCTGCGTGTGCGCCTCTCCCACCCTTACCTCCCCAACGTCTCTCATTGCGTCAGAAAGCTCTAGAAGCCCTCAGTGCGCGCCGGAGCCTGGGAGTGCAGAGCCGGCCGCAGAACCACAGAGGAAGCCCAGCGAGGGGTTGCCGGGAGCAGCGGTGTTGCCATGGCGACCACTGTTGCTTCAGAGGGTGATGGGGCCAGGAGGGGCACTTCCTGTGTACTCCACTGTCCCGTCCACACTGAGTGTCCCCCACGCGCCTGGTTGTGTGCCCGACAGAGAGGCCCACCAAGCGCCAAGGAGAATGCAGGAATAAGCAGAGAGGAGCTCAGTCTGTCTAGGGAAGGGGCAGGGAGCTCACAGAAGTGGGGTGTTGACGCATGCATAGGAGTGCAACAGTTTCTAAGGAGCCAGCTGATTTAAGGCACAGCTGTGTTTAAAAGCATGTGTGTGGGGGAGGGAGAGACAGGCCTGGGACTGTCTGAGTCGCACGCCCAGGGAGAAAAAATAAAGCAGAGAGGGGCCTCTCCCCTCCCCTCCAACCACAGGGCGGCAGACAGAGGTCAACAACCTTATGTGACCTCGTCTCTATGATGGGAAGAGGAGAGAGAGGCTGGGGGTGCCAGCGCCGGCTCTGTCTGGTCTACCTGTCACTCAGCACGGGGGGAGGGGGAAAGAGGGAGGGTATAGGGGATGCCCCCCCTGCACACACTCAGTCTTTCAGGGGCTTCCTAGAAGGCAGAGGGCATCGTGGTTAATTTGGGGCTCAGAGTGTGAGCTCATCACTTAACTAGAGGAGTGGATTCGGGTCAAGTGCTTTTTTTTTCTTTTTCTTTCTTGTGCACACGGCGAGTTAGAGAGAGAGAGAGAGAGAGAAAGGTCCTCCTTTTCCTTTGGTTCACCCCCCAAATGGCCGCTATGGCTGGCACGCTGCGCCGATCCAAAGCCAGGAGCCGGGAGCCAGGTGCTTCCTCCTGGTCTCCCATGCGGGTGCAGGGCCCAAGCACTTGGGCCATCCTCCACTGCACTCCCGGGCCACAGCAGAGAGCTGGCCTGGAAGAGGAGCAACTGGGACAGAATCCGGTGCCCCAACTGGGACTAGAACCAGGGGTGCCAGCGCCGCAGGCGTAGGATTAGCCATGTGAGCCATAGCGCTGGCCTCGGGCCAAGTTCTGTAGCTGAACTCCCCTTTGGGTCAGGGCTGGGGGATTTCTTCTGCCTAGAACCACCTCATTCTCTGGCCATGCAAAATGTGAGCTTAAAAGTTAGCCTGCCAGGGGCCAGTGCTGTGGCATAGTGGATAAAGCTATCGCCTGCAGTGCTGGCATCCCATATGGGCGCCAGTTTGAGTCCCGTCTGCTCCTCTTCCCATCCAGCTCTTTGATATGGCCTGGGAAAGCAGCAGAAGATGGTCCAAGGGCTTGGGTCCCCGCACCTGCATGGGAGACCTGGAAGAAGCTCTGGCTCCCAGCTTCTGCCTGGTCCAGCCCTACTAATGCAGCCAGTTGGGGAGTGAACCAGCAGACAGAAGATCTCTGTCTCTCCCTCTTCTGTAACTCTACCTTTCAAATAAAATAAAAATAAATCTTTAAAAAAAACTTAGCCAGCTATACAGACTTATTGAGTTTCAACTCCCACCTGCAGTTGCCTTGCCAGACTGAATGGTATTGCTGGCGGGATGGCCCCCACCCCTGCTCTGTGGAAAGCAGACCTGACCCATTCTAAGGGGGGGGGGGGGGCACGAAGTCACCTTTGTGAAATGCCCAGCACATCGCCCTGCAGCACACACACAGCCAACCATGCCGGGCCCAGGGCATCCACCCCCAAGGCCATCACCCGTCTCAGCCTCTCCACACCCCCGGCCAACACCGCCACCGCCACTTGCCCGGGGTTAGCGCACCGTCACCTCCTACGGCCCTGTGCTTGCTCTTGGTCCCTGTACTCAAGGCTTATGGCTTCGGTCCGTGGCAGTTTAACAACCATGTGTTAATCACCATCTCTGTGTCTTGGGCTGGCATGGCTCAGCCGGGCTCTCTGTTTGGGGTTCTTGGGGGGGCTACAGTCAAGGTATTGGCCAGGGCTGTGGTCCCTGAGGCTCTTCTGGGGCAGGATCTGCGGCCAAGCTCCTGTGGGTGCTGGGGTCCATTGAACTGAGCACCTTTGTGGCTGGCTGGCTCCTGGCCAGAGGCCACCCTCAGTTCCTTGCCACATGGACCCCTCAGCAAGCCCCTCACCCCACCACAGCCCGTCCAGGAAACGGCCTCCTTGCAAGATGTCACACCAGTCTCTGACATTGCAACCCTGGAATGGGCCTGCCGCCATGGGTCCCACCACCCTCAGAGGGAGACAATGACACAGCCCCTGCCGAGACCCCACAGCATTGTCTCACCTCCACACCCAGGATGCTGGGTGGACCTCGCTCGGGTCCTCTCGCCTCTCTCATCCAAAAGCTCCCCGAGGGCGGGCGTTCGGGGCAGCAGTTCAGACCTGCATCCAAGTGCCTGGGTTCGAATCCTGGCTCTGCCCCCCACTTCCAGCTGCCTGTTGACAGGGGGCAGCAGGTGATGGCTGAAGGAGCCGCGTTCCTGGCTTCCCGTGTTGGCCTGGCCCAGCCCCGGCAGATGCAGGCATTTGAAGAGTGAGCCAGCAGATGCGGGAGCTCTCTCCCTCTCTCTCTCCCCCACTTGTCATTCAAACTAATAAATAATGTAAGGACTCTTCTCCTAGCATCTCATCTTATAAAAGTGGAAGGTCCTAGGCCGGCGCCGCAGCATACTAGGCTAATCCTCCGCCTTGCAGCGCTGGCACACTGGGTTCTAGTCCAGGTCGGGGCGCCGGATTCTGTCCCGGTTGCCCCTCTTCCAGGCCAGCTCTCTGCTGTGGCCAGGGAGTGCAGTGGAGGATGGCCCAAGTGCTTGGGCCCTGCACCCCATGGGAGACCAGGATAAGTACCCTGGGCTCCTGCCATCGGATCAGCGCGGTGCGCTGGCAGCAGCGCACTGGCCACGGCAGCCATTGGAGGGTGAACCAACGGCAAAGGAAGACCTTTCTCTCTGTCTCTCTCTCTCACTGTCCACTCTGCCTGTCAAAAAATAAAAAAATAAATAAATAAATAAAAATAAAAGTGGAAGGTCCTTTCATTTAGCTGGAAGGCTCTACCGGAACTGTGTCTTGACCTCTGACCTTGGCTCCTCCCACACTCCTACACAAGGTTTCCTGAACAGTCCTGCCTCAGGGCCTTTGCACTGGCAGCTCCCTCTGCTGCAGCTTCCTGCCCCCAGGGGTCCACAGGACTCACTTCTCACCTCCATCAGGACTCTGCTCACCTCCCCAGCCCAGCCCTGCTCCCTAAGCCCTTTTCTTCCTCTGCACCTTAGCACCGCCTGCATGTGGTGTGTGTTCCTTGCTTCTTCCCCCACTCCCAAGTGTGCTGCAGCCCAATCAGGTGGTGGGAAACGGACTGTCCATTCCCTTCAGGGCCCCCGGCACCCGGGCCATGCCTGACGCCCAGCAGGTGCTCCGTGCATGCGTGGACTGAACGACTGTCCCGGCAGCTGCTCCCCTGCCCAGTAAGGCTCCGTAGGGGACCTAGAGCTGGCGTGAGAAGGACCAGGCAAGGGCGAGGGGCCAGCACTGTGGTGCAGCAGGTGAAGCCGCCGTGTGCAGCAGTGGCATCTCAGAGCGCTGGTTCGAGTCCTGGCTGCTCCACTTCTGATTCAGTTTCCTGCTGATGTGCCTGGAAAAGCCCTTGCCACCCACCAGGCTGGAGACCAGGCTGGAGTTCCAGGCTCCTGGCCAGCCCTGGCTGTTGCCATCTTTTGTTGAGTGAACCAGCAAAGGATGGAAGATTCTCTCCCCCCCCCTTTCTCTCTCCCTCTCTCTCTCTCACCTGCCTTTCAAACAAATAAACAAAATAAGAAGACGAGCCAGCTGTCCAGACTGCCTTCGGTGCCCACCCCAGGTCTCAGCATTCAGGCCCTGAGCCTGTCTCCTCCATATTCGGTGGGCACCTACTCCCCCCAGAGCAGGGCTGGGGCCAGGATGCTCCGCAGGCAGATGTGGCCTCCTGCCCTCCAGGACCCTGTCCCCACCCAGGGAGAGACCGGGTGGCAGGGACTTGCCAACAGGTGCAGCCTGGGCTCCCCCTTGCCATCCCAAAGAGGAGCTCAGATGTCTGCGGGTTGCTCGCACCTGCTGTAGCCTCCCGATTCTCACTGCTGGGCCCTCAGACCTCCCCCCAAGGGGGTCTGCCTGTGTGACTCTTCCTCGGGGGCCCCTCTGAAGGGCCCTGCCCCCTCCAGCAGGAGGGGGTAGCTCCTGGTTACACCTCTCTGGCTTCCTTCTTCTGGGTAGACGCCAGCGTGCCCAGGCCAGAGCCCACTTCCCTTTGCCCAAACTGAGTGGTGAGGTGCTGCGTTCAGGGGGCTCTCCCAGTGGGGGGCCGCGATGGTGGCTTCTGTCCTTGGCGTCCTAAGGAGCCTGCAGGAGGGGAAAACGCACAGGGGCCAGGGAGCAGTGGGCAGACAAGCGACTCGGAAAAGACCAGGTTTATTCCAGTGCTGGTGGGGGGAGGGGGAGCTGCGCATAGCAATGCTAAGAAGGTGCCGATCTCCTTTGCCTACAGGGTCTGGGCCAGCGGCGGCTGGGGCCGGGCTCACTGCACTGGCCGAGTGCTGGTGAGCAGAGCAGAGCCAAGGCCTCGGCTCAGGCCTTCCCGCCCTCGCCCTGAGACACCCGGGTGTCTGGGGGCGCCCGGCGGAACCACTCAGACCAGGAGCCGTCATAGACGGCCACATCGGGCTTGCCGCAGAGGTAGGCGGCCAGGGCGATGTGGCAGGCAGTGACCCCCTTGCGGCAGGTGGCGATGAGGGGCTGCGAGAGGTCCACCTGCTTGGCCTGGAACATGGCGCGCAGCTCTTCCGGGCTCTTCTCGAAGCCTTCAGGCGTCAGGAAGTCCATGAAGGGCATGTTGAGCGAGCCGCGGATGTGGCCCGAGCCCAGGCCTGCGGAGGGGGCAGGGGCACAGGTGAGAGGAGCCACTGCCACCAGAGCCCACCTTTGACCTTCCTGGAGCAGGATTTATCCCCAACCCCTCCCCCAAAACCTGTCTTAGAGTGGCGATGTCCAACATCGCACCAGCTGGAGAGGACAAGCGCCTGCGTCTCGGCTCCATCACCACAATCCCTTCTC